AACAGGAATCCAGAGTGTCAAAAACATTGACCTGTTGTGGTCGTTCTGAGGTCTTTACACAAGAGGAATTGCTCTGTTATTTTTCTGTAATCAGAAAATGAGTGAAAGCTAACAGCTGGCATTTTCCGAGGGGGGCCTCGAGTCTAAAAAGTTGAGAACCGCTGAGCTAATTAAATCTCTTATTACAAAAGCAACAACTGCAGGTGCAGTCATAACACTGCAGTTTCCCTAAAAACAATACAAAACATTCACGCAGACTGTTCAAAGAAAGGATACTTTGTAAGGGAGAAACAAGACATCAAAATGCATTATTGAATCTTTCAGTCCATATATTCTAATTTAAATACTGATTTTTTTTTAGAAGAGCTTGGCCCATTTATACTAAGTACCCTCCTATTGTGAAATTGTTAAACAATTGTTTGTCCAGGTACAATAGCCTCCACTTACTAGAAGGGATATTCTTCATCATCAAAACTCTATATTCATTACAGATATAACTGTTTACACAGCAGACAGAAGAGATCAGATACAGCAGTGTAAACAAGCATTGGAAATCTCATGTTCACAGGCAGTTTAAGATCTTTGATATTCATTAAAACCTGTGCAGCTTTTACACAATGCCAAAATCTGTGAAGATTAAACTGCCAGGGATTGAAATGGTTTTATTAACAGTGTCTATTAATCAGATTTGAAGTGTGTTCTCACACACTAAAACCCATCTGTAATTTGAAGAGATTGTACCAAGACAGGGAAAGGCATACAGCTTGTGAACTGGAGTCAGCCCGCCATTCAGCCCACCAGTAGTCTGGCGGGTTACTGGAAGCTGTGGGGGTATGGCCTGCCATAGATTTCAGGATTCCTGGACCCTAATGGACATAGCCATCGGCAGCAGCCCCCTGGCCCTGTGCCACTGTCCCTATGTTCTGCATGTCTCCGGACGTGTGCTGCTGCCCAAACATGACTCCATGCTGCTGCTTGAACGTGAACCCACCCCAGTTGCTGTTGGCTTCCTGTCCACACTGGGAGGAACACCCATGGTCCAGATCTGACCGGGGTAGTTTGACACACTTGGGTTATGGTATCTGTAGTCACTTCCTTCGCCTGGTGTCCCTTGTGTCGTGGTGGGATAATACATTACATCGTATTAGGCTTCTCTGCATATTGCATTCATATCTCAAAGGGTGTTAGTATCCCCAGGCAGCCCTGCTGCCAGAGAAGCAGAAGTGTGCATGTTCTTTACGCTGTGCACTGCCATGCTGGGTGGCTTTTCCTATAGTCCCCATGCTACATCTATAAATTCAAAGGCAGAATACCAGTTCTCCATCATGGAGAAATACTAAAGGGGGAAAAAAAAAATGCCAAGATGTTCTTTAGAAGGTTTTCTGAAATGTAAATTTCCTCATTTTAGAAGATTGCGACATCATGTAAAATCTTCCAGTATGTTTGGTATTTGCCTTCCTTCCTCACTGCCTGAACACTCAGGCAGAAAGGACGCATATTTCTGTGGGCCAGGCAAGCAAATAGGGGACTTCCAGCTAGGGAAACTTCTCTACCCCTGTCCAATGCTACTGCTGCCCCACTTCAGCCTTGGAAGCATCTTTGAACCAGACTTCAGTAAATTCTTCCAATATATCACTTAAATGCAGTAAGCCCTGACACAACCAACTTACTCTTTATGCCCAAGGCAAAAGGCTACGATGTTATGTGGAGCTCTAGTGAAACTGACTCTAATCTTCTCATCTCGGTCTGCAGTTAGGATATACTGATCGTCAGGACTCAGTGCCTATTGGGACAAGATGGGGGTTACAGAATATAAGATGAGAACATATTGAAACAAATTATTTCCAGCAAAGGTGAAAAAGTAGCAAGCGTAATGACAATATTTTCATCATTTGGATGCCTTGTGATAACATTACGTAAGTTGCAATTTAATATTTAGAATGGAAGCTTCAGACCTTCTAGGTAACAAAGAAGGCAACAGTAGTCAATGTCAGTTATATTGTGGAGTTTTTCAAAACCACCAGAAGTATACAGAAAGCCTCACTGTGCTTTAATAATAGACTAAGTACAAAAACCTCTCATTGCCAAACTATCAGGCTAGGCTAGACCAGTGGCATTCGAGGTTTTGGCCCTGAAGGCCAGATGAATGACATGGGGCTAATCTGCATGCTGCCCCCACAGGCCAAGATCAGGCTCCACACACCTGATTTAGCATGCAGAACCACAGCCCACAGGGCTCCCCACAGGCCCATGGGGAGCCCCACAAACTAAATGACAAGGGGCCAGATCTGGCTGCAGGCTGGGGTTAAGCATCCCAGGGCTACTGATGACTTAACACGTGTGTTCCATCTCTAAGTTCTAGGAGTCAGGAATGACAAGACTAGCGCTTAAAAACGACACTGTCAGGAGATCTAATCATTGCGTTCCTTCTGTTATACTGATAACAGGTCTCCTTTTATCTGGCATTTGGATTCAGACAAGAACTCTGAGAGGAAAGATGCTGCTGCTCTTCCATCTTGCTTATAGTAAAAAGACTGGGTTTTTGCAAGCTGTGTGAACTTGAGGCGGAGAAAAGTGTAAAGCTAAATAATCAAGCTAGAAGAAGGTAAATAAACACACATACGTACTATGTCCATTAGCAGAGAAAGGTGCCCAAGCTCAAGCTTTCCTGCTGCTTGAGGGTCTGTTATGGAATAAGAATAAACATCTCCAGATTTGTCTGCAATCAGAATCTTATCTTCTGCTGCTGTAATAATCAAGGAGGTACTTCTCCTAACTACCGACCTGAGGGGAAAAAATGTCATGGTTAAGTTTATTAATGGAGTTCAGTATGGCTGTTTTATCATGGAAATGGAAGACCAAAACTAAGTTAACTATATGCTGCCACAAAAAAGAATACTTGGAGATTATCCACCTCTCAAGGAGAACAGAGATTAAAATAAGACATAGCACAAACATTAATTTAAACTATTGTAACACAGACACAAAAGGGAGAATTGAAATGCATGGGTATATTTTAAAATGTTGTTACTTCCTGGCTTAATTATTTTAACTATGCAGCATACATGTACTTCTCAGGAAGTTTGGACAAGTCTATTAAAAAAGAAGCTGATGACAACCTTGGAAATAAAAGGGGGGAGTATGAAGTTGCAGAAAAGGTCATGTATTGGATCTTTGCATCTAAGAAGGTTCACGGCTCGGTCTCTAGCTGTGCAAACACTAGAAGAAAGGCCTGGCTCTGCACCTTTGCTATACCTAGTCACCCAAACTGGAGCTCAGGATCCAGAGTTCATCTTGTAGCAGCAGATATCCCAGCCAGTGAAAAGTTGGCACTTACAGTGCTTGCAGTTTTAATCTTCTTCATAGGGGAGATAAGATCTTAATGACCAACCAGCATGTTTTAGTAATACATTTTTCATTCTTAGCTTGCTTTATTTTTAAAAGTAGTTGCTATTTAGTATTTGCTGCTGCTATTATTTTTTTTATTTCCATAGTATTTTTTCATCAAAGTCTGTCAATGCTCCTGTGAATTAAACTATGCCTTTATATCTCTGGGTAAATAAGGAAGGCTTCATTTCACTTGTCAATGAAATGTGTTAACTGCTGAAAAAAGCATTGTAATGGACTTTGACAATACATCTAATACTGTGTCATTTGTCAGCCAGATTACTTTTTTAGTAGGTTACTTTCTGGGTTGCTGGCAAGCTAGATGCTTACCCAAAAGATAAAACATGAACAGCCCTATCTCTTTCTATGCAGCACCATCAGAGGTTCTCTTGTATTAAAGAAAGGACAGCATATGCCAATACTGCTTCCTATGAGTATTGCCACAAACATATATCTATTTCTGCATGTCTGGTTCAGTGTCACTGCAGAGTTATTTTCCCATGCAATGATCCTTTTGTTGGTATTTCCAGTTTCCTAACATCATAGGAAGTGACATCATATAACTCTGGGTAAAATCCAATTGGGTTTCAAGCTGACATGTCAGTAGAAGACTGAAAAAGCAAACAATTATCCTGAAGCACCCTAAAATGAGCGAGAGCAGCCATGAGAGAGGACTGTGTTCCTCTTTTGGGGCCTTGGAAGAGAATACATAAGGAAAGAAAGGTCTGACTATATACAACAGCAGCAATATTTCTATAAGCTGCATTGTCACTTTCATCAGAGCCAAAAGGAGAAACCAATGAGGCCTTTGGGTAAAATTAATCAAAATTTATGCGGCACAATGTAATTTAACCAAACTACAAAATGATGTGCCGGGATCAAAGCCTCACATTCTATTAGGCTAATTAAACATCTGTGACTAAAAAGCACCACAGTTTTTCACTGGGGAAATAAAAAAAAAATACCAATCAGAAAACACCATTTCAGTTTTGAAGGGAGCCCAATTATTTGGCATTGCTGATTTTTTTTTTTTTAAGACAACACAACTAAAGAAACAGAATAATTGTATAGTGTGGTCACCAAGTAATAGAAGAAATATTTTGTTTCTCTTTTTCTTTGTATGCATCTCTAACACAGAGAAAATGGACAAATATTTTAAAATGGGGAAAAAGCCAGAGCCAAGAAATTGACCAGGACCTCAGGGGTAGGTCTAGTACCTGAAAGTACTTCAACTCCTTCTCAGTAATGACACGGTTGTAAATTTAGGGTGTCACTAATTTAGTTTTGTACAACTCGAGTAACAAGAAAATGGATGTTTTTATGTTAAAATACTGAACTGAGTTATCTGGTTCTGCCACAGACAGCCTAGGATGGCAGCTGGCAAGTCATTAAAGGTCTCTCATCTATACCATAAGTAGAACTATGATGAGGAACGCTGGTCATAGCATTTATTCTGCTCTGAAGACAGAAAATAATCTAGCATTTTTTTCCAGATATTTACAGACAAAGTCTTCATTTTGAGAAGTCCCAGGGGTCCTCTCTCTCACAGGACAATCTGCAATGGAAGATTTATAATTGGAGGACCTCTGGTGGACAGCAAAAGATTACTCTTCTCCTCAAGAGGATGGAATTACCAAAAGAAATGTAAATGTATAACAGAACTGATAAAAATTGATTTATTTGGGGTAGTATGGGGGAAACTAGATTTTTATTTTGTTATTCAGACTGAACATTTTAATCAGCTGACCAGGGCTCCCAGCTTTGGAAGCAACAACGGAGTCTTGAAGGGCTCTGGTGTGTTCTGGAGGCTGGGAACTCTGGCCAGATGTTCAATTTAAGGTGCAATGAGAACCAGCCATGGAGTTAATACACAGGTTTTGTGTAATAACTTTGTGGCTTCTTCCGTTTTTTGTGCTATTAATTAAATGAATGTGTGGTTGGGTCACTAAAGACATAATTAACCAGTTAATCACACTTTCAGCGTAATGCCCGTCATGGGTCTCTGTCTCACAGCAACAGTCGATGTGCAAAATGCCCAGACAGCAGAATACTTGGAAGTAACAGTGGTAAATGCTGTAGAAAACTGAACGAAAATTCAAGTATTAAATGCACACACCTTTGTCACTAGTAATACTACAAAGGTACAAAAGATAAGAGCAGAACCTAAAACTTTAAAAAATATGACCAGAGCTCATTTGATGCATCTTTTAGCAAAAGACTTGAGTACTTGAGCAATAAAGGAACGTCTGAGAAATGCAAAATAATTCCATAATAACCACTTTATTTCAGCTTCACTGAAAATGCAGAAAGAGCCAAACTAATTCTTCACCAGATGTAAAATGGAATTGACTTTTGACTGTTTTGAGCAATTTATTAATAACTAGCCCTTTGATAACAATGTGTGTTGAAAATCATGTCAAAATAGAGGAAACTATCACAGCTAAAGCTGAGTACACTAAAAATAATTTCCATAGTATTAAACTGCAGAAAGACAGCAACATTATTAATGCTGTGGAAATTAAGTAAAAAAATACCCACCCAAAAACAA